CCCCCACCCCCAAGTTCCATTTCTTTAGAGAACCCTAATTTCTCTGGGCTCTAGGTATGGCTTACTGCTTCTTTTCTGTTGGCTATGTAATGGTTGGTGAAAGGAACTTGGGCTAGATGAACAACTTCTGTCCTTAGGATACTTGCTATAGTAGAGAAATATATACTGATTACAGGTGATGGGGATGGGGATGAGGTAGGGACTGACATCCTGGGACAAGGTTAACCTTTTCATCTGTACTGTTCTAGCATTTACACGCTTTGTTAAAATTTTGTTCTGGGAGCTGGGTATTGGTGGTGCACACCTTTAATCCCAGCACTCAGGAAGCAGAGGGAGGTGGTTCTCTTTGAGTTCAAGGCCAGCCTGGTGTACAGAGCTAGTTCCAGGACAGGCTCCAAAGCAATACAGAGAAACCCTGTCTTGAAAAAACAAAACAAAATTTTGTTCTGGGAATGTTTAAAGCCTTCCAGAGGCTCAACAAACACTGGATTTGGCAATTTTGTCCTTGACACTCTAGGTCAACACAAACACAGATTTTCTTTTGAATTGTCTAGTGTCTTAGTTTGTTTTCTGTTGCTATAATGAACACCATGACTAAAAGCAACCTGAGGAGCAAAGGGCTTTTTTGACCTACAGGTAACATTCCATTCTGGAGGGAAGCCAAGGGATAACTCAGGCAGGAACTGAATCAGAGACCATGGAGGAATACTGCTTATTGGCTTGCTCAGCCTGCTTTCTTATGCAACTCAGCACTACCTGCCTGAAGTGGCATAGTCCACAGAGAGCTGGATCTTCACACATCAATCATCAATCCAGACAATGCACCCATAGACTTGCCTACAGGCCAGCCTGATGGAGGCAGTTCCTTGATTGAAAGTCTTTTTTCCCAGCTATGTGTAGGTTTGTGCTATGCTGAGTAAGACCAACCAGTACAGCCAGACAGGATCTATTGTCTACTTTCTTTTGTCCCTTTTTGATTGTTTTAGCTTTTTACAAACTTAATTTATACATTAGTCTAAATAATTCAGATCTGTTGGTGGCTCTCTTCCATTGTACAGAGCATGTCTTATTGTGTGGTCCAGCTGAGTCAGCCTTAACTCCATTGTGAACACAGTTCTGCCTAGTTCTGTGAACTGGGCATTGTGATAAAATACTCTGACAAGAAGCAACTTAAGGGGGAAAAGGTTTATTTTGAACACAAGTCCCAGAAGGATAGAGCCCATTGTGGTAAGGAAGATGTGGCAACAGGCAGAGAAAGCTTGGTATCAGGAGAACAAAACAGGCATCTGTGCTCAGAAAGTGGGAGAAACAGCAATGGGGCTGGCCTATAACCCAAAGGTCTGCCCCTAGTGATGTTTTTCCTCCAGCAAGGCTCCATATCCTGAAGGGTCCATAACTTTCCTAGACCGCTCTGCCAGCTGATAACCAGATGTTTAAACCTATGAGCTCATGTAGCCATTCATATTCCAATCATAGCATTGCACCCTTGATCCCCTTAGGCTCGTGGTCATCTCATTATGAGAAAAGCACTTAGTTCAACTTTCAGAGTTCCCATAGTCTTTTTATGAATGTCAACATTGCTGTTAAGTCCAGAGTCTCTTCTGAGACTCAAGACAATCTTTGAACTTTGTAACACACTGAACAACAAAAGACAGATTACATACTTCCCAATGTACAATGGGGTTGAGTAAACGTTCCTACTCCATAAGGGAGAAATGGGAGACAGTGATGAATGACCAGGCCAAAACATTACTGAAATCCATCAGAGCAAATAGCAAATCCTTTAGAACCATTTCTAATACCCAGAACTTCAGTTTCCAAGGCTCAACCCTGCCATCCTAGCTTTGCTGCCTGCAACATGCATTTCTCTTGGACTGGCTCCACTCAGTATGCAGTCCTTGGCAGAAATCCCACCATGGTGGTATCTCAAACATCTTGGAGTACTCCATCACAACCCAGGTCTCTCTCTCTGTCTCTGTCTCTCTCTCTCTCTCTCTCTCTCACACACACACACACACACACACAGAGAGAGAGAGATCGCGCTTGGACTCAGGTGCTCTCTGAAACTCATGGGGAAAAGAAATCCATGACTTCCCTGTCACGAAAAATAAAACCCAACCAACCAAACAACAACAAAAAACTAGGAATATTGAAAACAAGAATAACTTTTCTTCCCTGCCCATCTTCTGGGTGGAATCTAAAAAGCTCCTTGAAGGCTATAGCTTGGCTGGAACTTCAGCTTCTTGCTGTGTAAGTAAGACCTTAGGACTGCCGAGTTTGGTTTAGCACCTGAGAAGAAACGTGCTCGCCCCCTCCCCCCCAGTAGCTCTTCACTGCCGCCAGCGCTGTAATTAGCCATCACGACGTGCTGACTTCGCCAGCTGCGTGGGAGGACCACAGGTCTCTGTGGCCATAGGAAACGTCCCACTCCGAAGGGCACAGCGCCAGAAAGTTCCCAGTCCCGGGAAGCAGTTTGCTACGGGCTGGAAAGTCGCCGGCCTCTCTAGCCGCGGTCCGCCGGGGCTCTGTGGTGGGAGGCCTGGCGCCTGCGTACTGAGCGGCGGCGGCGGGCGAGGGCCGCGCTCTGGCTGGAGTTGCGGAGAGGGGTGGTGTTGAGTGCTGCACTGGAGCTGTTCAGCGGCTCCGAGGAGGGAGGGACTTCCGCTGCCCTTGGGCGCGGACAGCAGACCCCAGGGAGTGTCCCGGCCCGTGCCCAGCCCGCCCGAGCCAACTCCACCCAGGTAGCAGCCCCCCCATCCCCGGGTTTGTGCCTTCCAACTAACTGGCTCTGTGGAGCCCAGTCACAGCACAGGGGGTGCCAGTTGCCCTGTTTCCATTTTAGAGAAAACCAAGGGTTCCCTCAGCTACTCAGTCTTTCCTGGATTGGACTGGACGGCCAGAGATGTTTACCTCTGTGGCCTCCCATCTGGTGTTTAAAGGCCTCGAGTCTAAGGGTTGTCATTCTCTTCTAGACCCACTCATTTTTAGAATTTCTCCTTGCACGACTTCCCAAAGTTGTAGCCATGACATTCTCAAAGCAGACCAGAACCGTAAACCACAGTGTGCTAACTAAACATTGCAGACAAGTCCCAGAACTTCTCAGAGCTTCTTGTCTGAAGTGAGGGATACACTCTCTGTCAATTATAAACTGTATTTGTTTTTATGTGTATGGATGTCTGCCTGTATGACTGCACCATGTGAATGCAGTGCCCACAGTGGAGGGTGTTGGATCCTCTAGGACTGGAGTTACAGATGGTTGTGAGCCACCATGTGGGTGCTGGGAACTGAACCCAGGTCCTTTTGGAGGAGTCAGTGCTCTCAACCACTGAGCCATCTCTGCCGCCCAATTGTTTATTTTCAAAAAGCAATAACACACCATTTTTAATTGCTCCTACCGAATGTCCTTTTCAAATGATGTTGATGATGAGTGCTCAGTGAGTGGATGTTTGGTTAGACGATGATGCTATATGGTAGTTGCTTTGAGAAGGGCTATAAGTAAGGAGTCCCAGAAATTCCATTATTTTTAATGCACATCTAAAAATCTTTGGGAAGCAATTCATAGTGCATAAATGCAGAAAGATGATAATCAAAACATATGTAATAGTTGAAATGTTTAAACTTTATAAAATGGGAGGGTTTGTTTGTTTTGTTTTGTTTTTTCCCGAGACAGAGTTTCTCTGTGTAGCTTTGGAGCCTGTCCTGGCACTCACTCTATAGATCAGGTTGGCCTCAAACTCACATAGATCCACCTACCCCTGCCTCCCAAAATGTTGGGCTTAAAATGGAAATTTTAAAGATAAAGGAGAATGAGAGGTAGGCCTTTCTGTCTGTCACTATCAACAGTCATCAGTATTTTGCCAATCTTGCTTTTATGAAAAATGGGAACCGTTGTTAAGTGTTGAAGATTAAGCTGGAGTACATTTGGAATGCTGAGATACCTCAAAAATAATACATAATTGTATATATGTACCAGAACTACCAACATTCAGAATCAAAGTAGCCTCCAATCTAGAAAAAAGGCAAGGAAGTGTCATAAGACAATAGCTAAATTCCTTTTAGTGTGTTGGGGGAGATATGAGTGACCCCCACTGGTTTTGTATTACTGTGTTTAGCAACTGTGGAAACACTTCAGGGGACTATGAGTGGCCCCCACTCGTGTTGTATTACTACTGTGTCTAGCAACTCTGGAAGCGCTGTACCTAGACTGAGCACATCAGTATATCAGAGCCCTTTCACTGCTACAGAGAATTTGTTCATTTATACTTTCTTTTTCTTCCATCCATGCTTGCATTCTTGCCTGCCACGTGGTATTAATGCTTAGTGTTGAGCCTTATGGTCAGTTTTCACATTCAGATCTCTAAGAATGATTTTTAATTTTAATTACTTTTATTTATTTAGTTGGGGATGTGGGGAGCTGTGAGGGTTAGAAGATAGACTTCAGAATTGGGTGTTCCTTTTCAGCATGTTAGTCCTGGAGGCTGAACTCAGGTCATCAGGCTTGGTGGCAAGAGCCTTTATCCCTGAGCTGTCTTGCTGGCCCTGTATATCCAAATCATTATTAACCAACTGTCTCCTAGGTGTAATTGATATTGCTGTAAAAATATTCCACTTATTTCTACCAGTATTTCCCAGCAGGATACAGCATAGTATCCCATAACAGGATGGTACTCCCCACATACACACTATTCCTTTTCTTCCTTCTCTAGGCAGGAGTATAACCTAGACCTTATGCATTTACATACGTTTCTAAAACAACCATTCCAAACAATTTAAATAAGATGATGAACCCATAATTGCTTCTTTTGTTTTTTTTTTTTTTTTTCCAAATAGATTGCAATGGAATTTGGCCAAAAGTCCATTTTGCTTTTGGTGAGGGCCAGAGCTGCTGTTACTGAGGGCATGATACATTTAAAAATAGTTAAGGGGGGGGGGGGATCACTTTCAAAGAAAAGGTGTAGGTGAAATTTGTTTCATGTCTGAAAATAAACTTTGTTTCCTAGGTATGCAAAGAAACCTCTTTGTCCTGATGACTTCAGAGATACTATGGATCAGTCCAGAGTTCTCCTCTGGGTAAAGGCAGAACCTTTTATAGTGGGTGCCTTGCAAGTGCCACCTCCACCCAAATTCAGTCTTCACTACCTCAGGAAGATAGCCAACTATGTGCGGACACGGGCCACAGAAGGTGCCTTCCCGCGCCTCTATTGGTCTACATGGAGACACATTGCGTGTGGAAAGCTGCAGCTGGCCAAGGACCTAGCATGGCTTTACTTTGAAATATTTGATAATCTTTCTTTGAGGACACCAGAGGAGCGCCTGGAATGGTCTGAAATTTTGTCCAACTGCATGACCGAAGATGAAGTTGAAAAGCAAAGAAATCAGGTATTGGCTGATGTATATAGCTATTTTGAGAAATAATTAATTCTTAACTTGTGTACTAACAGTATAGTTTGAGGTTTTATGTTATTGGCCCTTGTGATTTTTAAGGTACCATTTGAATGTTAGTATTTGAGCTTGGAAGTGTTTTGATACATGTGATCAGTTAATTAGTCTTTTTACTTACTAGCCCATATTTCTCCACTCCTGAAGGAACCATGAATTGACAACTCTTCCATTGACTTTTAAAATATTTTGGAGCAAGTGAACTGCTGATGTTATAGGCAGAGGTGCCTGATTCTATAGAAGTCTATTGCCTGCACCTTCTCAACCATCTCATTCTATCTTGACTGTTTAAAAATAACATCTACTGTATAATAGAATTAAATAATTACCATGACTGTGTATTAATTCGTCACTATTCTGTTGCTAAGGGCTATTTTTAAAGAGTTTTATTATGGCTCATACGATCAGAGGCCACATATATAGCTGTAGCAGTGGTTCTCAGCCTGGGGATCTCAACCCCTTTGGAGTCAGATAACCCTTTCACAGTAGTCACCTAAGACCATTGGGAAACACAGACAGTAGCAAAATTACAGTTATGAAGTAACGACAAAAATAATGTTCGGGAGTCCCCACAACATGAGGAACTGCATTAAAGGGTCACATTAGGAAGGTTGAGAACCATTGGGCTATAGCACTCTTGCTGGTAGAGATCTGAAGGAGTACAGGAGGGCATCACGTGGTGAGATACTGTTCTCCTGTGTTTGTACAATAGTTTCTCTTCTCTTTACAAAGCTACCAGTATTGAATCTCAGGGCTCTGATCTGATGTCTTTGTTTGATCTTCATCACTTCCTAAGTCCCACCCAACACTATAGTCATATTGTTTCTACCCTCTTAGTCCCTCACCATGAGGAGTAAATTTCAACATGTGTAACGAGTACGGTTTTTCCACCCGCCACCAGTCTTGTCCGGCTGCCCCGACAGCCCCAAATAATACACAGAGAATCTGTATTAGATATTATACTGTTGGCCAGTTACTAGTTTCTTATCGGCTAGCTCTGCCTTAATTATTAGCCCATTTCTGCTGATCTATGTATTTCTCTTACCAGGGAGCCGGCGGCATACTGCTTGCTCCAGACTCTCCATCTTGGCTCCTCCTTCCTACTTCCTATTTCCTCCTTGTCTCCTAGTCCCTCCTATCTTCCTTTCCTATTGGCCGACAGTGCTTTATTATTAACCAGTATGAGAAACATATATACATAATGGCATCTCCCATCATCTCCTCTTTTCTGTTTAAATAAAAAGAAGGGTTTTAACCTTAACATAGCAAAATATATCACATAACAGTTATCAAATAAGAATCACAGTTAACACTATTTAGTCCATTAACATTTATCAAGATTTAAGAAACTATTCCATCATCTATTTTATCTTTGTGAGTCTAAAGTTCTATATGTAACTTATCTTTAATCCTGACTAAGGAAAACTATAACCATAACTATCTGTCTTCAACTCCTTCAAAGACCACAGAAGGATAGTATATAAACTCTAGATATGACAGAGACATCTTGCTTTGTCAGTCACCTGAAGTTCTATTGTAATCTTCCATCTTCAGCCCATAGGCCATAGTGTGTCTGGCAGACTCTTCAGCAAAGCAGGAAACTTTAAACTGTCTTCTTGTATTGGCAGTTTGTCAGTCACTTTTCTCTGTGTCCTGCAGACTGTCTCGCAGACTCTTCCATGAAGCAGGAACTCTGTAGCAATGTCCATCTTGAATTAGCAGTCACTTTTTTGTGGGTCCTGCATGTCCAGTATATACAGCATAAAGTCAAACAGTCCAGACAAGAGCAGTATCTTGTCCAAATGGCTAGTCTTGCCATATTGGAAGTAAACTCCATAACGTGTTTTTTTAATGTCTATCTTCCTTTCTGACGCAGGTGGTGTTGCCAGGAGCATTGGTGCCTCTTTGTCAAGAAAAACCCTAAACCATTTTAAATGCCATATTCTGTAGGTCTTTGAAAGGTTTGAAGAATTTCTATCTATCTCAAATACATCTCTGTGTATCTTGAAAACCTAACTAACTTAACTCTAAGCTTTGACTATCATAGGTAATTATCTATAATCTGTACTACATTATATTTCTATATAAACACAATACCTAAACAAGAGGAGAAATACACATCTCACAAAATTGACATTAAATTGTATCAATAAATGAAAATCCATTCCAAAACAAAGTAATTATATCAATACCATAATTCCCTTTTTACCTTTAAAAATAATTGGCTGTGATCATTACCCATTTATAACCAAGTCCATTTAAATGAAAACAAACATTTATAAACAATATTTGGGAATTTGGGCGTCGTTCTTTCCAAACTACTTCCTGCTGATAGGGGGCGCTGTCGTGGGGATCCTAAGAAGATGGCTGTAGTCTGCAAGGCTGCTTTGTTCAGCTGTTTTGAATGTAGGATCACCTGGTACTGTTTCAGGCGGTCTGGCTTGCTCAAACCACATTAGTCTGGAAAGAATCCACAGCTTTTCAATTTCTGTGGAAACAAAAATAGAAATCCTTTTCCCCAGTAACTTGTCCTTGAACTTAAATTTTTGAGTCAAAGCATTTTTAAAATACATAAATTGAATTAATCCAGCAGCATTTCCTTTATCAGTTGTTGTTATTTTCTCAGCAGTCAAACAATGTAGAGACAACACAATAGCATACAGTAACCAGATTCTCTCTGAGCTTTTCATCTTTACGTGTCTTTATTATTACTCTGTTTATTTTACTTTTATTTTTTTATTTTTTGACATAGGGTTTCACTGTGTAACTCTTATCTGTCCTGGAATTTACTCTGCATACCAGGTTTACTTTGCAAATCACAGAGATCTGCTTGCCTCTGTCTCCCAATTGCTGGGATTAAAGGTGTGTGCCACCACACCCAGTTCCTCTTTGTCTATTTAAAACCATTTTATTTTTCATGTCTACGTATATTTTAAAACACACTGTAAACCTTTAGAGGTTTTTTCTTAATATGAATCTGTCTTACTGTAAATCTTTATCTTTTTCTGTCCACGAGTCTTTTATCTGGTAAACAACAACATTGCTGAAATGAAAGTCATAGTTGTTTCTGTCAAGGTTTGCCAAAGATGGCGGCGACTATTTTACCGCCAGCAGTGAAAGCTGTGCTCACTGCCTTGGTCTGCATGCTGCCGGCTTGGAGATGTGAGCACTGCCATTGCCAGCTCTGATACACACCAATAAATTGTTAGCAGAGTTATTTAAAAGCTGTGCGGTTTTTTGCCTTTTATGCTGAGTCAGGAATCTTCCCTTAAAGGAGCTGCGCAAATATCTGCTTGTCTCTAGCAAAGCAGAGTTCAACTGAGAAAAATGCTGCTACCAAGAAACCTTGCTTGTCTCTGTTCTTTTGTTTCTAAAACCCTTTTTTAACTTTTCTTAAATTTTAAGTGGAAGTTCTTAATAGCCACGTGGGCGCCATTTGTAACGAGTACGGTTTTTCCACCCGCCACCAGTCTTGTCCGGCTGCCCCGACAGCCCCAAATAATACACAGAGAATCTGTATTAGATATTATACTGTTGGCCAGTTACTAGTTTCTTATCGGCTAGCTCTGCCTTAATTATTAGCCCATTTCTGCTGATCTATGTATTTCTCTTACCAGGGAGCCGGCGGCATACTGCTTGCTCCAGACTCTCCATCTTGGCTCCTCCTTCCTACTTCCTATTTCCTCCTTGTCTCCTAGTCCCTCCTATCTTCCTTTCCTATTGGCCGACAGTGCTTTATTATTAACCAGTATGAGAAACATATATACATAATGGCATCTCCCATCAAACATGAATTTTCAAAATGGATAAATCATATCAAAGCCATAGCATTCTGCTTCTGTCTCTTGCTCCACACAGCTCATGCTCACAGATAGAATCTGTAAATAATCCCAAAGTCTTAACTTATTTCAGCCTCAGTTACAAACTCTAGTGTCTCACTTGAGATTCAAGGCAAGCTCTTCAGTTGTTAGACTGTAAACAAAAGTTATCTACTCAGAATATATAGTGGCACACACCTTTAATCCTAGCACTTGGGAGGCAGGTGGATCTCTGTGAGTCTGAGGCCAGCCTGGTCTACAAAGCTAGTTCCAGGACAGCCAGGGCTGCACAGAGAAACCCTGTTTCAAAAAGCACAAAAGGAAAAGAAAAGAAAGTAGTACCCAGAGCACATCCAGATGCCATCAGAGCAGACACAAGTGGTTGAGCCTCCAAATTCTCTTGTCTTGGGTTCGGGTTGTACCCCTAAAGCTTTATGTAGTTCTTCCTCTATGTCTTTGCTAGGCTCAACCCATACTTCAGCTTTCAGTTCAGAATCGTATGACTGTGGCTTTCCCAGGTTGGCATTGTAGACTGGCAGTTCCCAGTTGCAGAGTCCTGGTTGTAGTCCCATTCTTATGATTTCATTAGGCATTGACCCTCTCTAGCAGGACCCCTACCTAAATCTGTGTGGCCTCAAGTTTTGCTTTGAAATTGGGGTGGAAGCTGCCATACTTCTGTAGCTCTTGCATTGTGCGTACCTACAGTATATGCTACACTAAAAGCTGACAATTGCTCCTTAGTGGTCAGAGAGTGCAGAGTGTGCTTCTGGAAAGCAGGAAGGAGAAGGTGAAGACTTATGGAGAGCATTCTGGGCACTCTGAAACACAGACTTCTGAGGTGCCCTCCAGGTCTCTTTCCTGCTGTCCTGATACTTGTGGCCTCATTTCACCCATGCTGATTTCTTTGGCAAGGTTACTGGATGCACCTCTACATGATTATTCTTTGCTTCTTTGCTAGATGACCTGCAAATCTTTCAAATCCTTTTGCTTTGTTTCCTTTTAAATTAAGCATTCTGTTCTTAGATGGTGCTTCTACTTCTGTTTTCTTTTTTCTCTACACTCTTCTTCATGAAGTTAAAAGGTAACCTGGGAACAGCTTGACTGCTTTGTTGTTTGAGTTTT